TCACACAGAACAATAGTCAGCCTGCCCCAGGGGCTGGAGAGTGACTGCCGGAGCCAGCCAGCAGAGTCGAACGGTTCTTGAGTCGGGAGTGAGGATTAATATTATTTAAATAAACACACAGCACACAGGAAACTTTTTTAAAGGTCCAGACTCGACAGCCACAGCAAAAGGCAGGCTGCTGCAGCAAGCAGTGCAAGCAGTGCAAGCAGCAAACCTCAAATCTCTGCCTCCTCCTCTGCCTCCAGCCCTCTGTTTCCTAACATTTAGATTTCCCACATTATACTTGCTTTTTGTGAAATCTTAGGTCTAGTTCATGCTCCACATCCTCCAAGCTCTCTCCTCCAGCTCTGCTCTCCTCGTGCTTTCTAGCTCCTCCCTCTTTCCTGTCCTCTGGCTCCTCCCATTGCACAACATCGTATCTAGTTGCTTTATTTGTGTCTTGTTTACACAAGAGTCAGCCTTCTTCCACAGTAACTGTCAGCCTGTCTTTTTATTGTAGAGTTTCTAAACCAGAGTAGAAACATCTCAGAACAATGGTTTAAATTCCAAGAGGAGCCTGAGGAAGAGGTGTGATCCTCACAAGCTATCCTACCTGCTGTCACAAACAAAAGGAGATGGACTTGCAAATTCTACCCTGCCTTTAAAGAAGGTCCTGTAAAAGCAGTCTCCCTGCTGAGATTTAAATATCAAAGCAGCTGCCAGAGGCACTGCTCCCGACAAGTGACTCAGTGGCTGAGGGCACTTGCAGCTCTTGCAGAGGACCCAAGTTCTGTGCCCGGAACCCACACTGGGTGTCTTACATCCACTTGTAGCTCAGACTTTGGGGATCTGATGCCCCCTTCTGGTCTCTACAGGCACCTGCACTCACATGTACACCTCACTAGACACACTACACACACACACACACCCAGAGAGAGAAAGAGAGAGAGAGAGAGAGAGAGAGAGAATGATATTAATAAATTTTAAATGACTGAAAGTGGACCAAAAACCTTAAGGTCAAAACACCATAGGAAAGTGCAGTGGTCATCCTTCAAGACCACATGACATATATGTGGAAATAGCCCTCTGGTTCAGACTCCAGCAGCTCAGGGAGTAAAAGCCAGAGTCGACAAATGAGGCCACAACACACTAAAGGGCTTCTGCAGAGCCGTGGAGGCCGTGGCTAGAGTGAAGACAGCCCAGAGCATGGTAGTTCTTCCCAGCTCTGCACTGAAGATCTACTGTCCAGAATACAGAGAGTGCAAGAACTTGAACAATCTAAGACAAGCAATCAACCAACCAACCAACCAAGTCAGTGGACAGACTGACTGGATAGCCACTTTTTTAAAAAGAAGTACAAATGGCCAATAAAGGGAAAGCAAGCCAAAACAGCCCGAAATTTAGTCTTACCACAGGCCACAATCAAGGAAATAAACAACAGCTAATGCTGAGAAACAAGAAAAGAGCCCCATACACCGTGGGTGGGGATATGAGTTAGTACAGCTACTACCAAAAATATCCTGGAGGAGCGTCTAAATCCTACACCTGAAACTTCCATATGGGCCAGTGGGGTTCATCAGTACGCCCAGGATACAGGTTGGCATTCCACAGAGATTCCAGTGTGCCTGCATTGTGGTGCTCTCCACAGTGTCCAGGGGCTGTCCTCCACTCAGTACTCATGAGCTGATGAATAGATAAAGGAAATGGTACAGGGTCATAAATGGGCTTTATTCAGCCATGAAGAAGATCTGAACCATGCCATCTCAGTAAAATGGATAGAACATGTGATCATCTTGTTAAGTGAGGAAAGCCAGACTCATCAAGACAGTAACCGCACACTTTCCCATGTGAGGAATCTAGAAAAGATGTTAGATTAGAAGTTGTGTTTTGGAGAAGAGGCAGGGTTGGAGGTAGTAGGAGATATGGGTGGGATATGATCAAAAGCTTTATATTCCAGTAGAATGTTGAGGCAAAGCCCATGTTCTACCTGAAAATGTTAGTAAGAGTCTGTGAAAAGGGAAAACATGAAATGTAAGAAAGGAAGCTTGGAAGTTGAGCCACAGACCACGTGGTGTTCTGTTTTGTTTTGACTTGCTGTGTTACATTGTGTGTGTGTGTGTGTGTGTGTGTGTGTGTTTGTGTGTGTGTCTCGGGGTTAGGAGTGTAATTACAGAGGAAATGTAAACTCTGAAAAGCCATGTGAAACTATGCAATCTCTCTACAATATTTACAAAGCAGGCAGCATCTGGTTGCTGAGAGTGCCAGTCTGGAAAGTTCTTAAAGCCATCGCTTCAAAATGATGCCCTGAGCTCTTCTAGCTCTGATCACCAGGCACTAAGATCGTGGCTCATGGAGCAGAACAAATTCAGTCTCTCCGGGTGGTGACATTTTAACCAGGCAACATTTTCTAACAATAAAATCTGATCCCACAGTTGTTACGTTAGTCACCATTCAAACCGAGAGCCCCGTTGGAACTCATGGCTGTCTCTAGTGAGTGAATCTAAACTGAACTTGAACATTTTGGTCAGGATAGAAGTATGATGCCTGTTTGCCAGTGTGTGGGGAAGTTTAACTCCAAGCAAGAAAGCTACCCTGCCTCACCAAAGAGCGTGAGGCTGTGAGGAGGAGGTGGTGACTTCTTAGTTTTCTGAGACAGGGTTTCACCATGTGGCCTTGGCTGTTCTGAAGCTCACTGTGCAGGCTGGCCTCAGCCTCACAGAGCTGCTTCCTGAGCGTCCGTTTGTGTCTCTCCCTCCACTTAGGTCCTGTGTGTCACACACATACCCTGGACATTTGTTCTTTTTAAAGACAGCTCTCAAGGAAGGATGCAGTGCTGGGAAAGGAAGAGCGGGGAGAACGGGCAGCTGGTGCCCCTTTGCCACGCCAGGCTTCCTGGCAGAGGAAAGCAGGGAGATGAGGGGAGCAAAACCCCCAAAAGACAAAAGGACTGGAACTTGCTGCAGTTTATACTTAGAAGCAGGGCTTCAGGCTGGGTTTACAGGAGGGTTCACTAATTGCTGAGTCATTTTTTAGAATACATTACACGTGTTTCTGGCTAATTATAATTAAATATAAGGTGTTCGTTTTCATTTCTTGCTGTTCTATTGTGCTGGAGTATGGAAATGGAAACTGTGGACTTTGCCAAAGGAGAGATGCTGCATAAAAAGCAATGTGGCATTTTTTATGTCTATGTTTTAAAAACTCTTAACCACGGAGCAAACAAAGCTACTAAATGCAATTGGTGTGAGTCATTCTCTATTGGCAATTTTCTTTTTGCTTATTTCCCATCTCCCTAAAACAAGTACACATTATTTCTAAAGGAGAGATAATAATTTATCAATTTGACTTAATAGATTATTAGCATAATAACTCTCCAGACATTTCCTTTTCCAGGAAAGCAAAGTGCTGATTAGTTTTTGGCATCTATTAGAGAAAGCAATCATTTCACAGGAAGTTTTTCCTGCAGAGCCGGGGTGTGTATGTTAGGCAAGTGCTTGGCCACTGTGCTACAGCGCCAGTCCCCAGTGTGTAAGAACTAACGGGCACTAAAAAAGAGAGAGTAGGAAAGGGAGAGGAAGTCTGAAAACGACAAAAGCAGGGCTTATGCATTCTGCAATTCTAAAAGCTATTGCTGTGCAAATGTATCCATGAAGCTGTTAGAGGATTCCTTTGTACCATACACTTTCATGTATATATCTGCATATATGCACACCTATACACATGCATAAGGCAAACCATCACCTTCAGCGTATAGAAACAACCTATAGATTGTCAGAATCTAATCATAACTCGCGTCTGACCTTCTCCTCTGTGTCTTCTCACAGTTTCACTCCTTTTGTAGTTTTTTTTTTTTTCTCAGTGTTATGTGTATAGGTATTTTGCCTGCACGCAGGCCTGTGTACCATGCACATGGCTGATGCCCACAGAGGCCGGAAAAGGCCTAGGATCCCCCTGAAACCGGAGCCACGGACAGCTGTGAGCTGCAGTGTGGGAGCTGGGAACTGAGCCCTGGTACTCTGCAAGAGCAGCCAGTGCTCTTAACCAGGGAGCTACCTCTTCAGCCCCGTAAGCAGTTTTCTTAAACAACATTTAGTCTAAAGCATCCAGTTTGTCCCCAGATATTTGCAAAGAAAGATCACACTCATACTGCCTTAGGATGCTTTTTGGATCCTAACTGAACACACTCTGACAACAGTCTAGCCCTTCTGACTCGGCCATTCCTTTTGGGGCTGAACTCCACCACCCAGAATCTGATGTTTCCCCTTGCCCAACTGTAAAATGGGGTAAGGCTGATTTCATCTCTCCTTAAGGGCTTGTAGCCTGAAAGAGCTTCCCTCTGAGACTCACTGAGAGAAAGCGTCTTCTCAGATGCCAGGTTCTGCGAGAAAGCAAGCATCAGGTCAGGGCGAGTGAGAAATGGTGGGTGATTCCACGGTCTGGGTAAGAGATGTCACCCCTGGCTGTTACGTTGAAGCCAGGCCTCTCGGTGACTGTGGGTGCTGGGTGGCTTGTTGGAACCTTTTGAGAGTGAGGCCTAACTGAAGGAAACAGCTCCTTGGGGACACGCGTGGGGGTATATGTCCCCCTGGCTCTTCCTGCTTTCCCTTCTCATTTCCTGCCTGCTGTCAGGTTTCTTCTCCAGAGTCTGTCCCCCAGGATTTGCCCTGTTACTGACCTGGGAACATGGGGCAAAGCAGCCTTGGACCAGAAGCTCAGAAAGTGTAGCCAGGGCAGAGCCGCTTGACCCTTCTTTCCGGTGTTTGCCGCAAGCAGCGCACCGCTAGCACAATCAACTAAGTGTTGTGACAGCAATTCGGCCTTTTCTTCTGCACAAAAGCGAAATTTAGAAAGGTAAAGAAGCCGTTCTCTCCGTGGAAACCCTGGCTCCTTACCCGGAAGTCAGGCTGTTACTGTTACTATGGCAGCAGCTTCGGCGCCCGGGCGCTGGGGTTCCTCTGGCCGGGCTGATCACCCAATGCCAGAAAACAGAACATGCTGCCGCTGCCTTTGTTTAATTATCTTTCAGCCTGTGTTTTTAAGCTCTTGAGTGGATGTAAAACTAGCTAGGGAGTCGATAAAAGGACTTAGGCTTGGGCGCGGGTGGCCTGCCGACCCTGGGGCACCCCGGGCTTGGCCAGCTGCCCTCCGGCTTCTGCTTGCTTTCCGAAGTGGGAGACGCTGGGCTGATAACAGGTGGGTGAAACCGAGCAGTCAACAAGTGGTCGCTGAGAGCGTGCTGGCTAGTGGGGAGCGTCGCCGCAGCAGGCACGCAGGCTTTCGGGCCTGTCACAGCCTGCGATCCTGTGAATGGTAAGCCTAAAAACCAAAACAAACAAACCCAGACACACCTACACACCGAGCTGATGGCGTAGCCGCTACGGAAAAGTAAAACATTGTAAGAAAGTTATAGACAATTTTGTGAAAGAATGAAGAAATAATGAAGATTTAAAATATTCAAGATACCGTATATTCCTTCATGTATGTTTTTAGCTTCTTTGTCAAAAAACAGGCCATGTGTAAGAGTGGAGGCTTATGTCTGGGTTTCAGTTTTATTCTACTGATCAACGTACCTGCTTTTACACCAGTCCTGTTTGTTTTTTTTTTTTTTTTTTAACCGATATAGCTCTGTGGTTTAACTTGAAATCTGGGGTGTTAATGCATTCACCAATGGTTTTTATCATTCAGGATTATTTTGGATATCCTAAGTGTTTCCTGTTTCCATAATGAATTTTGAGATTAGTTTTTCAATTTCTATGAAATTTTTATAAGGATTGCATTGAGTCTGTAAATTATTTTGGTAGGAGAACTGTTCTCACAGAGTCAGTCTTGCCACTCCATGAGCATGGTATGTCTATCTTCAATTTTGTTCTCCAGTATCGTAAAGTAGTCATTGTACATGTCCGTCACTTTATTGTTTAGGTTTATTGTGAGATTTTTTGAGGCTATTAAAAAAGGTACTGTTTCCCCAACATATTTCTCAGTGAGTTTGCCACTGGTATATAAGAAAGCTGCTGATTTGTGTGTGAGCTTTGTTTCCCTGGCCTTTGTCTGTCAGCTGTGGAAGCTTTCTAGTGGAGTCTTGATGGCTTTTAACTTATGTAGTCATCTCATCTGCAAATATGGATACTTTTACTTCCTCCTTTCACCCCCTTCTTCTTGCCTTTTTGGTCTAGCTGAGACTTGAAGCACAACGTTGAACAGGGGTGGAAAGCGTGGACCTCTGCTTTGTTCCTGATTTTAGTGGAAAGTGCTTCACATTTGTTCCATTTTATATGATGTTGGCTATGGTTTGGTTTTTGGGTTTCTTTTTGTTTATGGTCTCTATTATGTTGGAATATGTTCCCTGTATCACAACATTCCTCCATTCCTCAGGACTTCTAGCATTATGAGATGCTGGAATTTTTTGTTTGTTTGTTTTGCCAAAGGACTTTTCTGCATCTAATGAGAAAATGAAATGATTTCTGTCCTTGAGTCTTTTTTGTGGTGTTTTGCACTTATCAGTTTACATACAAAGAATCATCCCTGTGACTCCGGATGAAGCCAGCTTCATTGCAGTGGGTAACATTTTGGATGTATCCTTGAATTTGATGGGCAACTCTTGAGAAACTTTGTGTCTACGTTCATCAGGAAGAATGTTATTGTTGGGCCTTTACCTGGGTTTGGCTTTAGGGTGATGATGGCATGGTAAAGATAACCATCTGTGAATCCTGCAGCTGTAATCATGGCCTAGCATGAGATGCCGGCTGGTGCTATAATGCGTGAATATCAAGGGGGTAACCAGCCACTTTTTCATTAGGTTTAAAGGCCACGATAGAAGGAGGAACTCCCTTCTAGTACAGATAACTGGGCCAAAGTTGGTGGCTGAATGGTCATAAGCCCCAGGGGAGAACTGAATGCCATGATTCTGTTAAATGGACATAGTACAAAATTGTTCTCTAAGTCTTCATGTTTATATCTATGGATTAGCGTTTCTTGCAGCCTTATGAAATAACCTTCCTTTTACAGTTAGATGTGAATCAGTCCAGAGATTCACAGCTGGTCAGTGTATAGACAATAATAGACTGTGGAGTACAAATCTTAAAATGAGACATCTGTGTCACCCTCCCTCAGGCTCAGGGATCATGGCGCAAGAGCGGCAGAAAAAGTAAAGCCAGGAGTCATGGATATCTGTAGGAAAACGTCATTTTCTGGGCCTGACAGGGCTTTTGCACATACAAACCCAGGGTGACTGGGCTGCATGCTCAGGCCTGCATAGGACGCAGCAGCCAGCAGGACCCGGGAGAGGCTCACGGAGTCCCACTTCTAGCTGAGGAGCTACTGGCAACTGAAGCCTTCTCCCTGCGGGACAGAAAATAGGCTTTCCATGCACATTCAGGCAGCACTAGTAACCTTTTAAGTTTTAAAACAGAACACATGAATCTGGAAGAGAAGAGTTGGGAGGGATGGGAGCTGGATTCAATCAAAATGTTATATGCAGGTATAAAATTATCCAACTATTAAAAAAAAAACAACTTAAAGAAAATCCTAACAGTTTGCCTTATAGCCAGGCTCAGTTGAGCTCTGCTCCATCCCTCCCCTCTTTACCCTCCTCTCCCCTTCCTACTCCTCTCCTTCCCCCTTCCTTCTTCTTTCCTCCCTGCCCTGCCCCTCCCCTGCACTCTCTTTTCCTTCCCTCCTCTCCTCTTTTTCAGAAAGGGTCCCTTTCATCCAGGATGACCAGCAAAGTCACTACATTTTCAAGGATGACTTCGAATTCCTGAGCCCTTTGCTTTTACCTCCTGAATTCTGGACTTACAGATTTGTACCATTGTCCCCAGTTTATATGGTGCTGGACATTGAACCCAGAGGTCTAATGCAAGCACTGCCCCAACCAAAGTTAATATCCAGACTGCATTAATGATGATGATGGTGGTGGTGGAATGAACAGAAAGCCTTCCATTTGGGCAGGCAGAGGGCTCATTATAAAGTGGCAAGGGTCACCAGGTTCAGAGCTGAAAGTGCTGCAGAACTTTAATGATGCCAATCAAACTTGAGTGGACTTCAGACCTCTCTTGCATTCTCTACAATTTCTCAAGAACACTTAGGGCACTGAGGTGGGATCTGCAGCGACCCTCTGATGCTCATGCATCAGGCTTAGTCCTCTGCATGGAGCATCTGAGCCATGAGGCCTGGAGGGAAGTCTCCCAGGCACCCAGCATTTTCCTGATGGGATCATGGGATCCAGCTCCCCGCCCATACACACACACACTCACACACACCAGCTCCACTGTGCTTCCCTCACCCCAACTACCCTGCTATAGTTTCGGGCCCCAAGCAATGGGTTCACCAGACCATGGACTAAACCCTCAAAACTTGGAGCCAAATAAACCTTTCCTCTCTATATGCTCATTGTCTTGTGTTTAAAATAGCAATGGAATACTGGCTAAGAGCATGGCCCAGCTTTCCCCCTGGCTTACAGTCTCCCAGGGCGAGCTCCTTTGTGGCACTCATGCCCTCAGTGCTGGAAGGACATCCAGAGGGACTTGGTAAGAATCCACTTAGGTATTGTCAGAAGGCAGCACTCTCCAACTGCTGAGAGGAGACAGAGGGCTGGAATTTGTCTGCATCAAAGGAACCTTCAAAACAGGCTGCTATGGGACTGAGAACACTGGACCAGGGCCTCATAGGCCTGCCTTCCTGCCAAGACTCTCCTGGCCACAGATGACAGCAGCACACGCCCTGGGCCACCCACCACGGCAGTTCTGCTCCGTCCAGACTGTGCTCAGTCTTCATAGTCCTGTAAAGAGCCTGGCACCCTTGTAGGCTTCACCGGCCTGAGGGTTGCTGTTGATGGTGTATCATGGCGGCTTGCTGCTGCTGCTTCCTTTTCTTCAGCTGCTGCTGCCATTGGGTGGTGTGTGTGTGTGTGTGTGTGTGTGTGTGTGTGTGTGTGTGTGTTAGAGTTGTGATTGTAATTCAATAACTTGCTTTATTTGAAGTTTGTGTTTTACATATGGGTCTAAGGGACTTTAAATGTTATAAGATGTAGGTTCTAAAAATTGCTTTGGTTGAATAAAGCATAGAACATTCAAATCCTGAGAAATACAGGTTTATACTTTTAATTTCTAAGAGCTACAAACTCTTTAGCTCTCCTGTAAAGTTTTAAATTTTACTACTGTTTTTGTTTGTTTGTTTCATTTAGTTTTAAGTATTTTTTCGTTTTCAAGCTATTAGGCTTATTTCCTGTTGTTTTCTAATTAATTTACACGTAGCTGGAATTTCATGTCTCAGGGACCCCAGGACCTCATCACAATGAACAGATGGGAAAAAGGAGGCTGCTACCTGTTCTGATAAAACACAAAATAGCAGCAAAAGAAAACACACAGAGAAAAAATCAGCCAGACCCCTCCCATTAGGCATGCTGACCCCCAGCCCCTGCCCAGACTGCTCTCCGCTCAGGTCCTTCATGCCTCCACTTCTTCTCTTTTCACCGAATGTTTGTTCTCTTCAGATTCGGAGTGCCCTGGCCATCAGCACTCCACTGCTTGGCCGGAGGCCTCCGGCAGAGACACTTTCTCCCAGCAACAGTGTGCTCATTTCCTTAGGGATAGAGCTGGGTACGCTCGGCGTGCTCAGCAGGCTGGCGTGTCTCCCCTTAAGGATTTCTGTACCTGAGGATGATGTTGAAGGCCTGATCTTCCTGCCTGCCTCTACCTTCCAAGAGCTGGGACTGTGGGCGTGGATGGCCAAGCCTGGCTTGGAGACTTGTTTCTTCTCTTTTTCACTGTGTTACTTCACTAAGTCTTTTGATGAACAGAAAGGATGGTCAGCTTCTCCCTGCAGTGCAGGAACTGTGTCAGCTTCTCCCTGCACTGCAGGAACTGTGTCAGCTTCTCCCTGCAGTGCGGGGGACTGTGTCAGCTTCTCCCTGCAGTGCGGGAACTGTGCGATGCACATCAAACCTCTCACGTTGCCCTGGTTCAACACTCTCCTACCTCTTTCGGCTTCTTTAGTTTCTTCTTAATTTCCAGCCTAGCATGGAGGCAGGCTCCTGTTGTCCTGTGTTTAGTTTGCTTGGATTCCACAGTGCAGGCCTGGGCTGTTTTTTGTTCTTTGTTTTTTTCCTGAGATGCCATTTATTCTGCAGAGAAGCGTGGTCCTGCCTTCCTGTCCTGAAACACGTGTCTGTTTTCCGCACTTGGGTGTGGATGTTG